ATATATATATATATATATAGGGGCTGGTTCAAATAAAAACTATGTCTGGTGTGAGAACCGTGAGAACCATATTTGATGCTATTTTTAATATTACATGGTGCTTTCATTTTCATAAATGCTAATAAAAATTTTGTTGCTATTTTTAATCAAATACATCCTAGTTAAAAATAGCACTAAAACACAATTAATCATAGCACTACATACAATTAAAAATAGCGGTTCTCACGGTTCACACACTAGGACTTGGTTCTCATTTGAACCACATCCTATATATATATATATATATATATGAACATGCACTGTGTATGTACTTTAGTTGAAAAGAAACATAACTAGAAAATTAGTTATAAGTATTTATGATGCATATATAGGCATGTAAACAAGTCGAATTCTAGTCAATCTCGAGTTTTAATAAGTTAAACTATATAAAAATTATTTTTTTGAGTCGTGTCGAGTCGAACCAAACTCATCTCATTAATGAAATGAATTTTAAGAGAGCTCAAGTTCAACTCATTTACCAAATGAGTCAAGCTCACGAACAACTTGTTTTGTTTAACAACTTGTTTTGTTTAACAACTCTAGCTGTATACTCTAAGTCGTGGGGCTCATAATGTTGACTTGACATGGACCCACTACACAGGCAAATTAGTTATAAATAACAATAATAATAATAATAATAATAATAATAATAATTATACAAAAAGAAAGATAGAACAAGAAAAAAGCTGGATAAAAGTTGTAAATTTTTCATGATCATATGTATCGATTTTCTCTTCATGTGTTAATATTTTGTGCTTCGAAATAATCCACATAAATTTATATCAATACCTATTAAAACTTTATAATTATAAACCAATAAATTAACTTAAATTATAAATATATTTTAAAGTTAATAACTTTTTGTGTTAATGTTTTTTTATATGATATTCATGTTGTATATATAAATATTTTTATTTATCAATGTACATTAAATATTAATAAAATTATTCATCAATTGAACAAGTTTATTTATTAAAATCATTATATACTATGGTTTACGAAAATCTTATTTTAATTATTTTTATTTAAATTAAAGACGAGTTTTTTACTTAACAGTTAACACTCGCATATTCACGGGTGTTGTATTGCTCTTAGTCTTATCTTTCGAAACAATAGGTATATTAATAAGAGTACAATTACAAGATGAATTACAACTGAATCAACTATCTAACTAAGTTAAATCTAGGAAGACTAAACACATACAATCTAAATCCAACGCTAAACACGAACATTAGAAAACTCAAAACAATTTTCATACTACTAAACTAATTAGATCACACACAAAAATTAATGTAGTTTGTCCAACTTCTTTTTAGACAAACTTAAAACGACATCAAAGGAGCACTGCTCCAAGTCAACTCAGCTATTAAATCACTAATTGAAGTGACAAATGAGTGGTTGGGCTTTCCAATCCGCGATACAATCGGAGCAACAAGTTGATGTGTCCTCAAGTAAACAGCCCAGTTTTACCAGAAATTGGGCCCACAATGTATTTATTAATATAATAGAGCCCATGTACTTTAGATTGTTGGGCCCATCTGATGACACCACCGTCATCTTTTGACACCACAAATTTGATCTCAGTAAGAGTTCAGTGCGTGGCAAGCATTTTGAGGGCGATGACAAATTTTCTATGCCACTTGCTTCGCCAACATCATAAATATACATCAATCGGCATCTTGTGAACTTTCAATTGCAATTTTTAAGTGGGCTCTTTGTCCATGGAGTTTCTGTTCATCAATGGCGACGCGTAAAGGGGTCAAAGGGTCTGCAAGATAAAATCTGTTTGTTTCACGGTCTCGCGCTCTTTCTGTTGATTTTAGTTGCTTGTTGGATTATTGATATAGAAAGGTTGATTGGTCTGTTTGCTTTAATTTCTCTAAGACTGAAATTTAATGGGACTGACCTTTTTTTTTATTTATTTTTCTTTTTTATGTGATTGATTGTTTCCAAATTTGTGTTTTTGCTGCGTTGTATTGATTTTTCCTTTTTTGCAGACTCAAATTTAAACCTCTTACGCTTCCAAATTTCTTATTATTCGTTTGGGTCTTATACATTACTCCATATAACATTCACTGATATGACTGGAAATTACCTGCAGAAACTGAAGACAGCAGGAACTGAGCAAATCTCTGTTACAATGGGGCAATACAATGGCTCCTCCGAATACATAGGTCTCAACGAAGTACCTTCTCCCAGATCATCTCACGGCAGGAAAGTCTCGGTTCTACCCCTCGTTTTCCTCATCTTCTACGAAGTCTCGGGTGGCCCGTTTGGCATCGAGGACAGCGTCAAAGCAGCTGGCCCTCTTCTTGCTCTTGCTGGCTTTCTCATATTTCCGTTCATATGGAGCGTGCCAGAAGCCTTAATAACTGCCGAAATGGGCACAATGTTCCCTGAGAACGGTGGCTATGTAGTTTGGGTTTCTTCCGGGCTGGGCCCGTTTTGGGGTTTTCAGCAAGGATGGATGAAATGGCTTAGTGGGGTAATCGACAATGCTCTCTACCCCGTTTTATTTCTCGATTACTTAAAATCGGGTATCCCTGCATTAGGCGATGGCCTTCCCCGAGTTTTATCTGTTCTGGGTATAACGATTGTCTTAACTTACATGAACTACAGAGGCTTAACCATAGTAGGATGGGTAGCTGTGCTTCTCGGTATTTTCTCGATCCTCCCGTTTATAGTCATGGGACTCATCTCTATCCCGAGACTAAAGCCCGAGAGATGGTTAGTTGCCGATATTCACACCGTGAACTGGAATTTATATTTAAACACTCTTTTCTGGAATCTCAATTACTGGGACTCGATAAGCACGCTGGCCGGTGAAGTCGAGAATCCCAAGAAAACCCTCCCGAAAGCACTATTTTATGCTTTGGTCCTCGTAGTCTTGGGATATTTCTTCCCTTTGTTGACCGGAACTGGTTCAATCCCCCTCGCTCGTGAAATGTGGACTGACGGCTATTTCGCTGACGTGGCGAAGATTCTCGGCGGCGTGTGGCTGAGGTGGTGGGTTCAGGCGGCTGCCGCCATGTCGAATATGGGCATGTTCGTGGCCGAAATGAGTAGCGACTCGTTTCAATTGCTTGGAATGGCCGAGCGAGGAATGCTTCCCGATTTTTTCGCGAAGAGGTCTAAACACGGGACTCCGCTCGTCGGTATATTGTTTTCGGCTTCTGGGGTGATTTTGCTCTCGTGGCTGAGCTTTCAGGAGATTGTGGCTGCCGAGAATTTCTTGTACTGTTTTGGGATGATACTCGAATTTATAGCTTTCGTGAGGCTTAGGATTATAAGGCCGGATGCTCCGCGGCCTTACAAGATACCTGTTGGCACGTTTGGTGCGATTTTGATGTGCGTGCCTCCGAGTGTGCTGATAGGGGTAGTTTTGGCGTTTTCGTCGCTTAAGGTTATGATTGTGAGTCTTGTTGCGGTTTTGCTTGGGCTTGTGCTGCATCCTTGTTTGAAGCAGAGTGAGAAGAAGAATTGGCTTAGGTTCTCGATTAGCGATGACCTTCCGGAAATTCGGACTTCTTCTGCTGTTAATCGTCGTGAGGAGGATGATGATGATGATGAATCCATGATTGAGTGATGTAATAAAAACTACTTGTGTAAGTTGGTGCAGGTAAAAATTTAGTTATGGTTTTATGTTTTGGTGTGTTGTGGTCTCTGAGTTTCAATTTTCGACACATACATATTATCAGCCATCAGTATCTGGAAAGGGAAATCGAATGTGACTGTTGTAAATCTGTTTCTTCACATAGCTTTTCTAAAATAACAGTTGCAGAATGATTGATCTTTTTTTGTGTTGCTGATCGTGTCATGAATCGGAAGGTGGAGATGTTCTATTTGTGAGGTTAGAAAGTTGAAAAAAATCGGTTGCCTGAAAGAAACTGCTGTTTTTGGTGTTGTTGATGAAAAAGATAGGGCTTTTGGTTGCAGATTAGCTTTAGTAGCTTTCGTGGTTTGTGTTTGTGTTGCTCAACTTGTTTATATTCTTCGTTTTGGTGTTTGTGTAATAATGCACATTTGAATCTAAAGGGTTTTAGACAAATTTCCTAATGTAATGATGCGATCTTATTTATTGTGTTGCAAAAAGTACACTAGTTGAAATAAGTTTCTGAAAATGAGTGTATGTCTTACTCTCCCAGTTTTGCTATGGAGCCATCGGATGACTCGACTTATGGAGTCATCCACACTTATTCACCAATAGTGTATTGACACGTGTCCTATAATAAATACAATTTGAACAGGTGTCAATACATTAAGTGATGAATGGCTCCATAAGAAAACTATCCGCTCCATAGAATTTTTGTTGACTCTCTCCTCTCTTCCTCTCCCCTTACTGTTGAAGTTTATGTATTTATAGCTAGTTTTTTCTCGAGGAAACTGAACCAAGAAAAGTAGAAAACATTCACTTTCGACACGTGTTGATTCGATTTAGGATGAAATCACACCCAACATCTCCAATCATCACCAAGGAACGAAGTAAAGAGCTCATATAATATAAATCAGACTGAAAGTACAGAGATTGTGAAAACTTTGAAGTGGCTGAATGACCGATTTTGATTCATTACCAATCGCACTCTAAATATTTATGTCTTGCTGTCTCGTCGGGCTTTTATTGGGGTTCCGGGCCATTCGGCCCATACAAGGCCGTGATGTTTAATTTAGCCATCTCCAATAGTTTTTTGTATCAAATGGTACAATATCTAGTTATCTGCCCTAATATTTTAAATTATTTTCAATAGTTTCACTTTAAATTTTGCATAGAAGTCATATTATCCTCTTCGTTATTAATATACTATTATATAAAGTTAAAATCCATAATAAATAATGTAGTTGATATATCGAGAAAAAAATACACTTTTACCCCTATACGTATAATTATATGTTTGTTCCAATATAGTAAAATTTACTACAAAAAATATTAAAATTGACAGGCTAATTTCATCTATGTTCGGTCATGTAATAGTAACTTCAATATCATTATATGGCACCTCGACTATTTTCATCCATTTGACAATAATTCAATAACTTCAGTTTCATTATACAATTTTTATCCATTTAACTCGACTATTTTCATCCATTTAACAATAACTTTTTTCATCCATTTAACAATAACTTCAATTTCATTATAAAATGGTAAGGTACCTCTAAAAGTAAATCAGTTTTCTTTTTTATTCAGGGCTAAAACCTTTTCTTGTTTTCAGTAAATGCATTGCAATCTGTCTAATTTTTCCCCTGATTTCGGTAATAACTAAAAACATTGCAATCGATCAATTGAATCGGTTTGGTAATTGAAAAGATTAAGTCACTCGCTAGTCCAAAACCTTCTCGAATTTATTCCGAACAATTATCATCACAATCTATCACAATTCACAAATAAAAAACAGAATTTTGTTTCACCAGGTGGGTTTCAACCAGCAAAAATCGCCCAAAAATCTCAGTTTTTTTAATTAACATAAAAGCAAAAAAACAAAAATGTGAGACGGATTTAGTAGAGAAGCACCGTGAAGGAGGCGGCGCTTCTCTGTGGATCCATCCCAGCGGTTGTCTGGCCGCCGCCGGTTCAGAGCCCGGCTTTCCATTTCTGCACAGCCGCTCAAAGGCTTCTCCACATTTTTTCATATTCCTTTTTACAGAATATTGAAGAAGCCTTCGATGCGTAGTGCAATTCGTGAACCAATCATAAACATGCTATTTAAAACAAATAATAATAATAAAAAAAAAGATAAATCGGAGATTACGCCATTTTTGCTGGCTGGCCAATCGATGGAAGCTGGAAAATCAGCTGTCATATGAAGAGAGAAACCCTAATGACTGCGAAAAAGTTGCGAGGGGATTATAAAGAGGTGAAGTGGGCTAATGGGCTTCAAGGTTTGAACCTTGTTTTTAGAAAACGTATTAAACCAACCCATGGGCCATTGCATATGGACTAATGCCAACAATTGGCCTTAATTAGATTCCTGGTCTAAATGAGTCTAGTCGAGCTAAACAAGTCAAAAAAATAAGCGCAAGTATTTAACGAGCTATACTATAGAAATTATTATATAAAAATTTTTATTATCAAGCCTTAACAAATTTGAGCTCAAGATTAAGCTTGTTTGCACGCCTTTACAAGTCGAGCTTACAATTGCTCGTTTCATTTAATAGCTTTGATCTACCTACAATCAATTTTTTAAGGGTTTGTAGTTTTTCGGAACAAAATTGTGATGAATATCGAGTTATTTTTTTACAGCTGATCTTACAAACAAGTCGAACTATTTTTCTTTAAATTAATACTTTATTTACTTTTATAATAAAAATTAAAGCATCTACCAATATTAATTGGAACACAGTAAAATTATTTATAAACTACATCACAAAATATAAATTTAAAATTTTTTATAATATAAAAGGGTGAGTGGATGGATGCCATTTTATCTAAAAATGATAATGTAGTTTTTTAATAAATATATAACTTAAAATATAACTTTTTTAGATATTGATTTTTTATTAGCTTTTGTGTAATAAACATGAATATTCAATAAATGAGTGACATTTTGCACTAAACAAAATAATTGAGTGATATTAGCATTCCTATTAATCACACCATGAGGTATTTATATATAAAAAAAAATAAAAAACTTAAACCTCATTATTTTGTGTATTTTTTTTTTCTATAAGTGAACAGTTGAGCGTTCAATTGCCAGTCCAAAAGCTTCCTTAGATATTTATTTTCCCTTTTGATTTTTTATTTGTGTGTGTGTTAACAAACACACACTGTGCGGTAAACGAAAATCTAATCACCGTCCGTCGGTCCACAGCTCCGATCACCGGAAGAAATTTCCGGTCACGAGTGACCTCGGTCGCGAATCGCTGCGTCACTCTGTAGATAGGATTGGAGTTCTCATGGATTCCCCGGAGATGAACGAGGAGGAGCACGGGAACGAGAAGAACGACGAGATAAGCGTTCCTCGCGCGATTTTCCGTTTACTTTTCCTGGTCTCTTCGTCCCTATCGATTTTCGTGCTTCTCTCACTCTCCGTGCTGTATGTAGCTGTTTTCCTTGGGAATTTATCTGTTTGGAGCCCGATTTCGGTTCACTCACGCTGCAGAATAATTTCCACTAGTAAGTCCTGTTTGTTTCTCTTGGCAGATTGAGCTTATATGTGTGTGCGTGTCTGTATGTGTGAATGGACGTGCTAATCGAAATTGGGAAGGCTGCAGATTTTGTTTGTTCTTTTTTCATATGTTGACAGATGAAATTTGTTTTTATCAATTCATTTTTATCCTGTAAGTGACAACTGATTTGCCCCAGATTTCAGTTGTCTTTGATTAGCTGGAAACCATTTGTTGGGAAGATTTGAGAGGTTTCTATTTTGGGGGCCTTTTTAACTTTTTTGCACTTCTCAGTTTATGGTTTTCATTTAGCATTATGATGGTTTATCAAGTTATTATTAGGAAGAAATGAAAAAGGCAAAGCTGATTGATTATTTACATTTGATTAGTTGGTGAAAAGAATATGACTAAGCTGAATTGAACTTTTTACAGGTTATGGAATTGCCAATCCTTAGCTTGTTTTCTAAATATGTTCACTTATAGACTTTGAAGGTTCAACTGGTCTTTCAGATTTCTTAGATACGCACTCCGAAATATCATCCGAAAGTAAATTCCTTTAAGTGGTTGGAATTGTGTTGCAAAAATTGGTCTACGCGCCTAGCATGAGGTGATTATGTTTAATAAATCAGGTTAAGGGGCCCATGTAGTGATCGGAGCTGCCCGTTCGAAAACTATTAAAATCTATGTGAAAATAGAAACACCAGGCTGTTACCCCACTAGTGATTTCTGCAACTTTGATATCAGGCATTTGGTTATGGCTTGCTTTATTGTTTGGAGAATATCATGGCCTGAAGGCAGAGTTGATCCTGTGAATACAAATGAAAAAAAAGATAGTGTTTTGATTGATGACATCTATAGCTACTTTGGGTTCTTTCTCAAAAAGTCCTTCCTCGATCATTCTTAGTTGCTAACTTATTTGCAATTCAATAGCCACTTTGGATATTTCTTCATAGGTTCTTTTTCCGAACCTACTCAATCAACTGTCAGATGTACCCCATTCCTTTGTCATCTAGGCTATGGATTACTTGCATTTGTGCCAATATGAAATCATGTAAAATGTTCCATTATTTATGTTGGATTCAATAAATACTTGAATACTAGTGGCTTTGTTATCACAAGTTTTATGTACTGTATAGCACATATAATTTAAACGTATATCAAATATGGAGCGAATTGAATATTATCTCTTCTTTATTTTCTTTCTTTTTTTGTTTCCTTTTCTGAGAGGACCAAGTTGTGTTTATTGTTCGTGCTACATATGCTCCTCTCATTTTGATTAATTGATTTTCATGTCTGTCCATGCATATTTACTTATGATCATATCATCTTGCTTTCGTATCTCTTCTGATGCCTGTGGTATGGACGTCTTTGCAGGTGTTGATCTGAGGTCATCTAAGGTTTGTGAATTAGGGCTGTTAAATTACAAGGCCAAGCATGTGTTTTACCCATATGAAAGGAAAAAATATCGATGCCACTATGACTATTACTGGGCTTCTGTGCTTGAGGTGACAATAAAATACATTTTTTTAAAAAGATATTTTAGTTAGCTTGAAAATTGGAGCAATAAACTATGATACTTTGAAGCTGCTATTTTTCTTATATATCAATAATGCTATTTTGTCTTACTTATTGGGTTTAATATCTTATAAGATGCACAAAGTAAGTAATAATTCTTGTTATCGTGCTAATAAAAGCATCACGTCCGTGCACTATTTAGCCTTTACATTGCATTTATAGTGTGAATCAATTTGGCAGGTTGAATACATAGATCACTTGGGGCAGGCTAGGTTTGCGTTAGCTGAGGCCCCAAACGAAGCCCTTCCATACAATTGTAGACCCAGTTTTGGTGCTGCATGGTTGACCAAAGATAAATTTAAGGTGGTATGCAAAACTCGGTCTTAAGCACTCGTGCATGATAAGATTAAACATAGGCTATATATGGTTAAACGATTTGAAAAGCTAGCCGATAGCTTATTGTGGATTTCGAACTTATAACTTATAGCTTATGGTTGGTGGCGGAAAAGCTAACTTATATAATAAAAATGTTTGGTAAAATAAGCTGATAAGTTAGCTGAAATAAAAATTTCAACGTGTTTTTTTTTTAAAGCTACCTAAGGAAGCTTATGAGATAAGCTCCAGCTTTTTGAAAAAGCTCGCCCAATCTTATTTAAATACAAAAAGCTTATAAGCTAGTGTATGGTGCTTATTAAGCATACTTATTACCTGACATTGCCAACTCCATGCATTTACGTTCTCCAGCTGTGATCAATTCTAAGTTTTTCAATCAATCTCTCTCTTCAGGTGAATCGAACATATGAGTGCTCGTACACACTTGGCATCTCTAGGGTGAACATAAATTTTGAAGGTTTATTTGATTGTCCATCTGAAGAGCCTTCGACGTTTGAGATGATTAAACGATATTACATCCTGTAAGTGGAGCAGGAAGCAAGAATCTCGTTCCTTTATGTTGTGCTCGTGAATATATAAAACTAAAGCTGCATTTATTATTATTACATTCTGCTGTTTTGGGCTGTCAGAGGTGATTAAGAGATACGTAACTCAGANAAAAAAAAAAAAAAAATACTAAAGAAAACAGTTTTATATGCAACGGTGACACAAATCAAGAGTCCCTCTAGGAGAATCTTGATGACTGCAATATTCATGTCTTTATATTATATCCAATGTTTTCAATCAAAATTTGGAACTGAAGCTCAACCATCAGTAAATAATTTAAAATTATTTTGTAATGCCAATATTTTAACTTGGTACCCGGGATGACTGAACAAATAACTTCCTGCAAAAAACATAAGCTTATTGAGCAGTAGCATAAGTTAAACTGTTGCACCATTGAACCGTCGTTTTGCTCAGAAAGTTCTTGTTTGAGAACCTTCTTCTTCTTCTCTCTCTTTGGCCAATTTTATAGTCTTTATATGATGTTATTTCTATTGTGTCAGGTTTACAAGGATATTAAAGTCGAAAGTTTTCAGTGGGGAAATACTAAATCAATGGAGATGGGAGATGATAGCTGGTGCTGCAACTGGATACATAACGGCCTTCTTATCTGTCAGCTTTATTGGGCTTTTACGGCCATTGATGTCCTTTGCTCGTCGAGTAATTGCATTTCGGGCCTCCCGTTTATGCCCAAGTACGGTATTACTGAAGAGAATTTGTTTCTTTGTTGCGTATTTCTCGTTCATGAGTTGGGTCACTATTCAATACGTGAAACGGCTCGGCCTCTCACAGACGTATAGTTTCGGTTAAGCATGTGCAACATTTTTGTACCTGTACAAATTGTTCTTTGATTGTAGCTCTTAAGTGTATTTTTTTTGTTTTTTCTTGAAGATCAATATATGTACAGTTAACCAATTTAAGGTTTTAATCGTGTCAAAATTTTGTGAAGGTGAAGTTTCAGATCTCATCTCCTTTTCATGAGAAAAGGTATCAATTTGCATATGCTGTTACCTCTTAAATACTCTTGTTCTCATTTTCTTGAGAAATACACATGAAATATTACCTTCAGTGTTATGTTTCAAAAATACATATAAAAAATCAGTGACTGTGACATGGAACTAGAGCTTTTCAAAGAAATGAGGCGCTCGTGAGTTTGAGTTTGGCTCGACTCGGATCGACTCGTTTAAGATTCGAGAAAAGAGATTTTATATTAGTTCGACTCATTAAAATTGATAAATGAAATGAGCTTGATTCGGCTCGTTTATACCTCTAGAACTCGAAATTAAATTACCAGGACAGTCAGACTAGTGATTTTATATATAGCTACAAGCTTGAACAAATTTCTAAGCCAGACAAAGGCAAATGGGAACTACCAAAATCTACTGTTAACAACAGAGGAAAAAGAGTTGGACAAAAAAGGGTTGGACATAAATAGTACTAAAAATTTATTTATTTGGTAATTATTTTGGAAAAATATATCAATCAAGAAAAATTATTTGACTTGTGAGCCATTGGTTTAAAAAAGAAGGTGACATATTTGCATCTTTTTATTTGTTCTTGCGGGCAAGTCACGCTATTGCAGTGGTCTTTTGATATTGATTCTATTCTATTGTCCCAGCTATTTTTTATTTTTTTAATCTGTTTCTTATATTTGAATTTGTATATATTATTTTGTGTTATTCTATTGCAGCATGAACTTGGTCGACTTGATTGCATATCCACGCATAACTTTTACTAGTAATATCACGCATAACTTTTACTAGTAATATCTCGTGCGATGCATGGACTATATTTGTTAATGTATAATTGAAGGCTATTAATCAATAACTTAGAATACGTACAACATTTCTCAGGTAATCATAAAATGTTCGTCATGAAAAAATCATTACAGTATTAAAACCTCATTGTTTTTCCATGCAAAATCATTTTGTCATTGGCAACTGTAGATCGATATATGCCAAAATTGCTCCACTTAGTAATTGAGAATTGCATAGACACCTCATTCCTCTAATTTTTTGTTGATTTTCGGAATGCTAACACCACGAAATAAAATTATAGTGAAAATATGTAATATGGTGATAAATACAAAAAATATAATTTATCAGGTGAAATTTAATTTTATATACAATATAAGAAAAGTTGTTAGCTTAAAGTGCGAAATTTGAGTATATATCTTTTTTTTTTTAATTTTCAATTATTCTCATTTTTATACCAAATCCATTCCAATATTGAGAATATTTTTGTTTTTTTAGTATATCTTTTATAGCTTATTTTTATAAATTAAACTAGTGCGTGGTTAGTCTATCTTTTATAGCTTATTTTTATAAATTAAACTAGTGCGTGGCCCGTGCGATGTACGGAAAAACAATATTACGATTGTATTATAAATTAAATATATAAATAACATTAATCATGATTTATCCATTATTTTTAAATTAAACCTGGTTGGACACAGTCCGACCGGATGGACCGAGAACCGGTTTATAACCAGTCTAGTTCGCTCGAATAAAATATTTTGCTCTCGAATCTGTCAATACCAGTCGGTTGGACTGGTAGGATCGATACGATTTTCTAAATAAATTTTGTTATATTTAAAATTATTTTAAATGAAATTAAATATTTAAATAAAATAGAGATTTATAATTATTTATCAATTTAGTTTAAACATTTGAATTTACAAATTGTTTAGATATCTAAGTAACACATTTATTTAAATTTGTTACAAAAAGTATTATATATATATGTATATATATATATATTAAAATGTTTATAGATTAAAATATGAACAAACCACAAATGATTTAATAAAATAGCTTGATCGTTTCGATGATGGTCCAATTCTAAAAACCTTATATTTACTATACATTAATAAATATTATAATAAAATATTATTTAATTCACATAAATAATAATAAAATGATATATAAGTATTCATAAATCATTAAACATGTTGTCATAAAAGTATTGTTAATACGATTATTTGAAGTTTGGACTACATCACATTCACGTAATAAAATATTTTCAATATAAAATTTATATTTAGGTTCAATAATCGATTTGGTGTGGTCGAACTGATACATAACCTAGTCACCTGGGACCAACCATGTTGTGTCAAATTTTTTGAAATCTTAAATATCACCTAAAAGTAATTCAATCACCCAATTGATCCGAGGAAATTTTCTTATTTTCTTTAAATATATTTAATTTTATGAAATAAAAATATTTTATGATTCATATAATAAATGTCTACACCAAATGATATTATATTAAGATTATAAATTATATATCTAAAGATGAATTAATTATTTTTACTTTATGCATATTAATAAAAAATAAACATAGTAAATTTCAAAAAATTAAGATTAATTGATTGATTATGCAATTTAAGAATATTTTTAGTGTTCAAATTTTTTTTTAAAGGCACAAATATAAAGACCGAGATTCTAAGTTTTGTTATATTTTGAATTGAGATTTTACAAATATAGAGACCGAGATTTTAATGTTGTTCGTTATTTCTAAGAAAAAAATAAAAAAAAAACATACACACTTAATAAATCTTAGCCGGATTTTTTAAATAATAAAATGAACTAAAACCCGAAATTTAAGGTAGAATTTAATGTTGTATGATTTTTAAATAAAAAAATAAGAAAAATAATAAAACTTACTATTTATAAGCTACATTAAATTCTGACCTATTTTTTGCTACTATTTTTGGTAAATGGTAATTCTTATTATATATATATATAACTATTTTTGTAAATGGTAATTCTTATTATATATATATATATAGATAATAAATTAATTAGTTAAGATGTGGACATATTTTGGACGTTTTGAATAAATAAGCTACGTTGAATTCAAAATATGATTACTCTTAAGTGATAAGATTTTCGAGTTATCCAAAAATTATTGTTCTAATATTATCTCTACACCATTAAATTTTCGTGAATAATAAACTACGCAATTATTGTTTTCAAACTTTCTATAAATAGGTCAAAGGTATTATTTATTTGGTCAAAAGTTTCCAAATAAGATTTATCCAATTCCATTGCAGTTTTAAATTTTGTTTTTAAAAAACAATGAAAAAATATATGTATTGTCCAAAATTCGAATGAGATTTCATTTTTTAATATATAATTTTAAAAAATCTGCTAGAAAGAAAATAATACACTTAACAAAATCGTCACCGTAAAAAAATAAATTAAGATATTATTTAAATAAATTCAAAATGTACACTACACAGAATTCTAGAATATTTTTGTACAAAAAAAGAAAAAAACTGAGAATATGACATGACAAACAACAACCGAAATCATGGCAATGCATTTAATGATTCTATTTATTTTTATTTGAAAACACTTAGGCTATGTTTGGTAAAACTAGCTGATAAGCTAGCTTATAGCTTATTTATAATTTTTTAGCTTATAGATTATAGCTTATGTCTTATAACTGAAAAGCTAGCTTATATAATAAAAGTGTTTGGTAAGAGCTGATAAGCTAGCTGAAATAAAAATTCAACTAGCTTATTTGAAAAGCTACCTAAAGTAGCTTATGAGATAAGCTCGAGCTTTTTAAAAAAACTCGTCATACCAAACGAGGCTTATTTGAATACAAGGAGCTTATAAGCTAACCAAATAAGCTATAAGCTAGCTTATTTGGCTTACCAAACACAGCCTTAAAAAAATATAAAACTTGCCTTTTTAGTATGTAATTAATGATTTTGACAGGAAACCCTTTCTAAAAATGATTTAACCTTATTCTTGTTTTATATGGATTGATTATTCTAATATCCTCTCTATATAATTTCAAAATGCACTGAGCTTACCTGACAAACTCTCGTGCTTCGGAATCCTATTTGGCAAAAAACAATGTTTTGGAGTTAGGCTTGGATATAAATTAATACTTTTTATCACACTAAATCCATGATTGATTTTTTCCTTCTTTATTTCTACAATTAGTTACCATACACTATTTTATGTTTCATTCTTCTACATTACCATACATCACATTTCATTTTCTTATATAATTCATTCATTAGTTTTTATAAATGTTTCTTCTTCTTATTTTAAGATTGTATAACTTTTTTATTTGTATTTTATTTATCATATATGATATATCTAATTAACTATTTTTAACGATTTTCGATTTGACATCAACATTATATATATAAAATACAAAACAATAATATATATCCTTATAAATAAGATTTAAATTTATATATCAACGTAAATTAAATTATATCAAATAAAACTATAAATTATATTATAAAGTAATAGAAATTGGTATGTATTCTGTTAAAAATGATATTTATTTCAAATCTAATTGGTATGTTGTCAATCTAATAAAAATAAATAATTATTTATCTAAGTTCTAAAATTACATATAAAGTTAAAAAACTGTGAAACACGACTGATAAGACACTTGATGTCTAATTAAGTAAAAAAATTAATCTATTTTGCTTAATATTAAAAAAAACATATTCTACACTTACACATATACATATCACCATATTATTTCTATTTATTTAAGATTATATAATTTTTTATTTATGTAATTGTAAATAATATCGATATTTTTATATGATATAAGTAAAAAAATTCAACACGGGTTGACATTTAATTTAATGTACGGGTGTTTAATTATTATGATTAATAAAATATAATTTCACAATTTAAATAAAATCTAAAATAATATTTTATATAAGATTAAATTATTTTTGTTTTTTAAAAAATAAAAAATCTAATATTTTTTTACAAAAACTTTATAATTCAACACCTGTGTAATACACGGGTACTGTACTAGTCAGGTATTAAGCATAGATATTCGCTAAAAGCATGAAACCTGATAATATTGATTAATGTAGATTATTGTGCTATTCTTTTAGTAGTTATTTAAATATACAATAGCCATTCATCTAATTTTATCTCAACATCAGTTTTAATAATATGTATTTTTAAAATAAAATCGACCATACAATTTATTCAATTATATATGACTATTTCATTATTATTTTATTTTTATATAATATCAATTTTAATCATTATAAGTACATCATAAAAATAACACTTTCCAACGTATTTATTTTCTCCATTAAATTTTAGGGAAGCTTGAATTGATAAGTTGGTCCGTCTTATTATACCCCAGTTTACAAATTTTTTATCTTGCACATTTGTCATCGATTTAAATTTTAATACGATCGTTTCTAACTTTTTCCATCGGATAAGAGGTAAAAAATAAATAAAAAAATTATCTTATTGGGTGAAATATTCTTTAAACGCACATTATTCATTCAACTCATTTTTCCACCTCAATTTTAATACTACAAATTTATAAATAACAAAATATGTAATTACTGTACAATTTCCTCTAAAATTCATTATTCATCTATTTATATATTTTTACTATCTCTAATTGTTTTACTTTTATATCAATATTAATAAAATTATATTTAAAGCCTCACATCAATAACACTTTTCAAACTATTTATTTTTTATACACAACTTATTTTCTATAAAAATATTATCTTTAAAACAAAAGATATAGCATAAACAAATTATTGTGTTAACTTTAAAACAATATTTAGCATAAAGATAAGGAGTGTGAGAACAATAGCTTATCTCTTAAGCTTTGCTTTTCAAATAAGTCCGATTAATTTTTTATTTCTACGCTTATCAACTAATTTTATCAAACTTCTATCATATCAGTTAGATTTTCAGCCATAAACTATCACTTAATTATCTCATAAGCTTATATCATATCAGATCAAAACTTCTATCATATCAGTTAAATTTTCAGCCATAAGCTATCAGCTAAATTATCTCACATGCTTCTATCATATCAGTTAAATTTTCAGCTATAAACTATCAGCTAGCTAGTTTAAATTATCTAATAAGATTCTAGTTAAATTTTCAGCCATAAACTATCAAGTAGCTAGCTTATCAACTAATATTGCCAAACATAGTTTTAGAAGCTTGACTTGCCATTAATGGCGAACATTTTCTTAAAAATCAAAATCGACTTTGATTGTAAACGATTTGTGTATTGTTCAACGGTTTTGATTTTATGAATGTTTATGTCTAAGGAAGAAACTGTAGTATTGTAAACGATTTTTGTATTGTTCAACTGATTTGTGTATTGTTCAACTGTTTTGATTTTTATGATTGTTTATGTCTAAGAAAGAAATTGTAGTATTATTTAAGTACATGTCGAACAAAACTTAAATTGGCCATTTCCTTAGGAGTATACTTCTTTTACTGAGAGAGGCTATATCTAAGTCTATGTTTGGTTCAGCTGAGGGGAGGGGAGGGATTTTAATGGAAGGAAGGGGAGGGGAAGTAAGGTGATGAAAAATAATTTTACCTTGTTTGGAAGGATTTTATAGAAGGAGAATGAAGGAAAAATTGTAAACCTTATTTAGTTAAAAAAATGGAATGGAAGGAAAATATTGTACAAATAACAGTCATACCCTTAATGATATAAGAAACAAAAAATTAAAATAATTCATATATGAAGGACAAAAAATAATTTCACAATTTAAAATTTTCTCTCCCCTCCAAATTTTCCCACTTTTGGAGGGGAGCAAAATTGGGGGAGGGGAGAGATATTGGCTTAAAATTTCACCTCCCTTCCTAAGTTACAAACCAAACAAAAGAAAAATAAAAAATCACCTCCCCTCCCCTTCCCCTTCCCCTTCCCTTCAAATGCCTCCAACCAAACACTACCTAAAGACTTTGTACTCTCCAACAATTTTAATAAAGTATATCCCAACAACCCATAGTTTGCATAATTGCATGATTTCACCTAAAATTGCTGAAAATATTATGTCGGTGATTAATTAATTAATTACTCACAGAAAAAAATTGGCCAATTCGCAATTGATAAAAAGAGCGACTATAAAGTATAAAGTGAGAGATGAGCGAGAGAGAGAGAGACAGAGACTTGTATCTGAAATTGGACATTGAAAAATCTCACTGAAAAAAAAAAAAATACATACAAACGCACATGCATTTCTGCATACGTCTGACATGGTCAGGCATTCATCCAATCCAAATCCTATTTTCTCCTCATCCTCACCACAAGGGGCGCTCTCTTTTATGACTTCCCTGAAGAAAGAAAAACGCTTTTTCTGTTTTGATGAATTCTTGAACAAGCCCATATAATCATAACAAATATGAAAAAGCTTGATTGTTTTCTGCCCTTTTGATTGATACCTTTTTCCTTTTCTTTCTTTTCTTTTTGGTGCCTAAAGAAATAAAGGTAAATCCATTCTCTTTCTGTGACTGATTTCATTTCTTGTATGTGTTGTTTATTTATTTTTATTTTATTTAAAGCAAAAGATTAGTGCTTCTGTTGAATTCGTTAACAAAGATTTAGCCTTTGTCATCAAGTTAGAAACTTTTGCAGTATAAACCCCCGAATTCATGTTTCTATACAAGATACATATGTAAAGTTGCTTGCTTTTGTCCAAAACATTCCTGCAAAAACTTCCAGAGTCTTTATAAATAATTGTAGTTTTTGTTGATGAGATTGAGTTTATATAAATTTTAAGCAGAAGATAAGTGCTTCTGTTAAAATCGTTAACCAAGATTTAATTGACTTTGTCAAATTAGAAACTTTAGCAGTATAAACCCAATAATTCCTGTTTCTACACAAGATACATGTGTAAAGTTGTTTGCTTTCATAGTTTCATTCAGAGTTTTCTTGAAAGAAAGTCTCGGGTCTCTATAAATAATCTGTAATTTTTGCTGTGAGATTGAGTGTATCTATTTTTTACCCTTTTGCAAATTTTGGTTAAATGGAAGTTACCCACTGTTTATTTAATAGGAAAATATTGACTAACAGTGAATTTTAGTACCTTTCTTCATATGTAAGGGATGGGGGTTAAGCTTTTTGAGCTGAGTAGGATTTGTTCTTTTGCATTTATGTCCCACTGTCTGTTTTCATGCTTAGCTTTCTACTTTTACTTTGATTTTCTGTATGACCTGGTGACCAGAGTTTGGTGAAATTGATTGAGTTGGTTGCATTTTTCTTTGTCCTTTTGCTGACTTTAGGGTGAAATGGGCCCTCATCATACAGAATCATAGTTTTTTAAAGCAAATTGGGGCCTATTATGATTTGAATAAATAAATGTAGATTAAACTCAGTACTCAAGTTGTGTATTACTCACTTTTAAAATGTGTAATAGTATTAAAAAAAATTAGAAGTTTTTGAGTTCTTTGAGATTAATTTACAATACAGAAAACCAACATCCCCTCTCAATCATTTAAAATAAAAAAAAAAGAGGAGTATTGATGAAGTGTGCTTGTCCTTGTATGTTATTTTCAACCCCTTAGACGTGCTAATATTCATATAATAATGGCCTGGCTTTTTGACCAGTAAATATGTTGAATCATTTCAATCTGCCTGTCTTTATGGTTTTGTGACTTTTTCTTCTTCATAAACAAAAAACAAAACCTTTCTTAACCTTCTGTGAGTGCATTTTCTGCTGAGATTGGTATGTTAGCTCTCTTACATTGTCACAAGTATATGCATATTGGCTGCTGCTATAATTTTTGCACATTCTCACTAAATATTACATTCAAGTGAATTACTCTTGTATTTTTCCTAATAAATGAGTGATATTTAACTATCTCTTTTGTTTTCTGCATCAGATTCTTGGAAAATTCTGAGACCATGACAAATAAAGATGGAAAAACAGATTCTCAGCAGGACAAAAATTCAAGGGCACTCCCCACGGCAATAATGATTATTGTGCTGTGTGGATTTTCTTTCTACCTTGGTGCCATTTTCGGTTCTGCAAATGACAATTATCCCACTCGAGAGATTGCTAAAGCCTTTGGAGCTTCCAAAGAATCAGTTGCGGGCCCACGCCAAGTCAAATCCGTAAACTTTACCGAATGCACCCCGGATTTTCAAGACTACACTCCTTGCACCGATCCAAGGGTAAAAATTCTTCTGTTTTATCACATACTCCCTCCTTTTTTTAATAGATGTCGTTTTGGGAAGTTTCACACTAATTAAGAATATTTTTTTTGCCAATAATAACCCTCATTAATGAGGATAGAGATAGATGTTTTGAGAAAAGATAAAGAATGAATATGAAAAGACGTAGTGTATTTATTAGCTAGATAAGGGTAATAATGGAAAAATATGTACAAAAGATCCAAAACGTCATTTATTTAGACAATGGTTGATAAAGCCAAAATGACATTTATAAAAAAAAGGAGGTAGTATTACATTTGGTAAAAATTGCAAATTTTGGTCAACTGTTGGCAAAATGGTGGTGTAAAAATGGATAATTGTCCAATATCTACAAGAATTAATCTCAAATTTGGTCCTGCAAGATTTGTGGTTTGCAAAATGATTTTTAACTTTTGAAGTGTTCTTATTTTAGAGATGGAAAAAATATAGTAGGCATCGACTTTCTTTTCTCGAGCGGCATTGCCCGCCCGTTTTCGAGAGGAAAGAATGTTTAATTCCACCGCCTGACGGTTACAAGCTACCCATCAGATGGCCTAAAAGCCGTGACGAATGTTGGTACAGGTAAAAAAAAAAAAAAAAATGAATGCTTTTTAGTTTTTACAGCTGTTTGTTAAATGGTTTTGATCTTTTCAGGAATGTGCCTTATGATTGGATCAACAGACAAAAATCAAACCAGCACTGGCTGAGGAAAGAAGGGGAGAAGTTTTCTTTCCCTGGTGGTGGGACCATGTTCCCTAACGGTGTTGCTCGATATGTCGATTTAATGCAGGATTTAATTCCCGAGATGAAAGATGGGACTATACGAACTGCTATCGACACCGGATGTGGGGTGAGATTCGATATTTTTCATATTTATCATAAACGGACCAAGCCCGTTTATGGCATACTTGATATTTATTTGCATTTTGCATTCAAAACATAAGTCTTTGTTCTGTTTTTTCTTCTTTTCCCCTTTTTTTTCAATTGTTGATTTGTTTAGGTTGCGAGTTGGGGTGGTGATCTTCTGGATCGAGGGATCTTGACCGTCTCTTTAGCACCGAGAGATAATCACGAAGCTCAAGTTCAGTTCGCTTTGGAACGTGGGATACCTGCTATGCTCGGCATTATCTCGACTCAAAGACTTCCTTTTCCTTCAAATTCTTTCGACATGGCACATTGCTCGAGATGCCTTATTCCATGGAACGAATACGGTAATCACATTACACNCTTAGCTTCAACCTTCATTCCAACATTTAGTCGATATGAAACGAAGTTCATTCGCCACTGTTTTTTCCCTTTCGACTCGAAAATGCAGAGTCTTGAAGATCCTTTAGTTCTGAACTTTAGCTGTTTTTGCACGATTGATAAAAATCGGAACTTTAGCTCATATGACACAATATATCATCATTTTATCATTGCCAGGTGGCATTTACCTTCTCGAAATACACCGAATCCTTAGGCCCGGAGGCTTCTGGGTTCTCTCCGGGCCCCCGATAAACTACGAGCGACGCTGGAAAGGATGGGACACAACAGTCGAGCAGCAAAAATCGGACTACGAAAAGCTCCAAAAACACTTAACCTCAATGTGCTTCAAACTCCACAACAAGAAAGGCGACATCGCCACCTGGCAGAAGCTTCCCGACTCCTCGAGCTGCTACAGTAAGCTCGATGCACCGGATAATTACCCCCCAAAATGTGATGACGGGACAGAGCCCGATTCTGCCTGGTACACTCCCATGCGGGCCTGTGTTATTGGGCCCAGCCCAAAATACAAGAAAATTGAGTTGAGCTTGCTGCCCAAGTGGCCTGAGAGGCTGAAGGTCGCGCCTGAACGTGTGGCCGATATTCGTGGTGGAAGTTCCGGATCTTTCAAGAAAGAAGACGAAAAATGGGAAAAACGGGTGAGAGAGTACGTTAAGTGGGTCCCGGCTATAGAAACTGGCGAGATAAGGAATGTGATGGATATGAACACGGTTTGGGGAGGTTTTGCGGCGGGATTGATCGATTATCCTTTGTGGGTTATGAATGTTGTTTCGTCTTATGCGCAGAATACACTTGCGGTTGTTTTCGATAGAGGGCTCATCGGGACTTATCATGATTGGTAAAAAAAGGGCAAAAAAAAATCATATAAAAATCAAGTCTTGCAAAATTTGATCTTTTTTTCTTTTTGTTTTTTGATGTATTGTTGTGTTTTTTTGTTTTTTTTTTGGGTTAGGTGCGAAGCGTTCTCGACGTATCCTCGGACGTACGATCTTCTTCATATGGATGGCCTTTTCACTGCTGAAAGTAATAGGTAAAAGGCTCCTACATTGTACTATATGATATATAATTGAATTAAATGTTTGTAACAATGAACACATGTTTTCCTCAAGAAGTGCAGAAAACTTGCCTTGGTGTTGAAGAAGGATAATACATTTGATTATTTGTATTAAATATTAATCACCGTGAGTTTAGTAATGATTAAATCTAAACAAGCCTAATTAAGTTTTTTTACTCTTGAGGCTACAAAGATCATAAAAATGATAAGAGAGGCTTAAACCTACTATCAACTTCAAATTTTTGTTCGATGCCATGTAGAAATTGGATGTTTTGGTGTTAGTTTTCGATTTTCTGTTAGTTTAACCTAAAATCTTCTTCAGACAGTATTAAAAGGTTTCATTTTTGACATGAACTTGTTATTATGTGTATGCTCGATATTTAGGTGTGAAATGAAATATGTCATGCTGGAAATGGACCGTATTTTGAGGCCAGGTGGGTATGCCATAATCCGCGAGTCGAGCTACTTCATCAACGGTATAGTAACAATAACCGAAGGTATGAGATGGAAATGTCGAAAGGAAAACACGAAAAATGGCGTCGAGCACGAACAAATATTGATTTGCCAGAAGAAAATGTGGTACTCTTCTAAGCAGAATTCAACATGATATGAAAGGAAAAAACTACATTTTTTTTTTTTTATAATTTTTTATTTTATTTTATGATGATTAGCTTTTTTCTCCTCTGTAACTTAGAAAACAGGATGTATTTATTATAAATGTTGAAAACACACAACTTTCCATTTGATAGAACTAAGTTCTATATATACTGCTTAACGTGAAATTTTTTTTGTCTTGTTTTGTGTGGATGAAAAACAAATTTGGGCAGACTTTATGTTTTAACATATGTTGTTTATTATTTATTTGAAATTTATATTTGAGCATTTTGTAACGTAGTTTTAGTTTTAGGTAATTTTATTACAATTATATGTGGAATTAGTGCACAGTCCGTGCGATGCACAAGGTGCACAATTTTAAGACTATTTATCCAGACTTATAATTATATACATGAATAAAAAAAAATGTATGGGATATATATAGTACGTGATCCGTGCGAGACATGAGATATATTTATTTGGGGATTATTATATTATAAGATGTAATATTAAATAAAAGGTTTATAACACGTAGGGAAAAAATCTGTTAGGATTTTTAAGAAAAAATCTTGATATACCGAAATCACATTATATGTAGAGGAACAAATCAGATCAGATTTTACATACAATTAGATAGGGGTGTTCACGGTCCAGATTGGTCCGGTTTTAGCCCAAACTATGACCAAATCGGAACTAACGGTTAATTTTTTTTCTTGTCCATAACCGGACAGATATTATTTTTTAACCGGCCACAATCCGGACTGCATTGGACTGATGTGAGCGTGTTTAAAGAAAGGTAATGAGCTTTGATAGTACTGAAGAGTCCCTTGCTCTCTACCTCTTCTATGTGGCAGGCTCTCTGGCTCACCAGTCTACGATTAAGATTTCGTAAGCAGATTGATTTTCTAATAAAAAAAAAAAAATAACATGCTTTCCTGATACGTGATAGATCAGAGCTAGGTTTCGGTTCGGTTTGGCGGTTAACCGGCTAAATCTAAAATTCTTGTTTTGGGCCTTCAATTTTTATTTTTTTCATTTTGGGCTTAATTTTATTTTTCAATTTTGGGTAGAGATTATTTGGGCTTAAAAATTAAGAAAAACAACAATAATGAAATAAAATTAGAAAGAGAAGGTGGGAAAATCTGAAAATGAAAAAACGAAGGTGGGAAAAAGTGAAAAGTTATAGTGTCTTACAAAATTAAGTCAACAAAAGGCCAAAAAGTGAAAGTGAATGTGTTGTATTTGTCGATCATAGTGAATGACTGAATGTATATATATATTTGTTATAGTTTTTTAATATTTACGGGTCCGGTCCGGTTAAACCGGCAGTTTGCCGCAGGTAATCCGTTAACCGGGTTGGTTATTCCGGATTTTAAAAAAAAAATAACTACCAAATTTTTTAAGGCTTTTTTAACTGACCATTTAACCGATCCGCGGTCTGGATTGACGGTTTTTTTCGGTTAAAACCGGACCGTGAACACCCCTAAAATTAGATAAGATTTTTTGTACAAAGATAAGAAGGAATTTGAAATCTACACAAACTATAAATATTAGATGTATTGGTTTACGTAAATCAATATCTATATAGACAACCAATCATTTAATTTAGGCTTGACATCTGATTTATTTTTGGTAAAATAAAGATTTTATCTTCCGATCCAATCTGCTTTTTTTTTTTTATGTACATTTTTTTTTGTATCGATTTTATAGAAAAAATAATTAAATAAAAATTAATTGATGGAAATAGAATGCATTAATTACTTTATATAAGTATAAATAGATATATAAATTTGACAAACTGGTGAATAGTCATTGACTCATAATTGCTACATATGGTCAAATTGCAATTATGGAAGCATCTTTTGTCACCTACCTTTTAGACTTTAGATGTGTTAAATTAATTGGTCCATTTTCACCAACCCATAATTCAATTTTGTGCAAACAGTTGTTACTTCAAACTAGTATAGAGCCCGTGCAATGCACGGGGTGTATAATTTTAAAACTATTTATCCAGGCTTATAATTATATACATGAATAAAGAAAAATGTACGCGATATATATAGTACGTGACCCGTGCGAAGCACGAGATATATATTTATTTAGAGAATATTATATTATAAGATGCAATATTCAATAAGAGTTTATAATACGCAAGAAATTGTACAATGTTCAATAAAAGTTTTATAATATTCAAGTGGAGTCTTAAAGTCTCTTGTACATTAAGATTACTGACAAAATAATATTTTAATCAATGAGTTTCCTTTCCTTGTAGCCAAATTGTGAATATGATTTGAGGAGTACAACAAATCGATATATAGCTGACTTGCTTTTTTCATTGTAGTTTTTTTTCTTTTTTTTTTATAATGAATTTAAAGATATTCTAAAATATAGCAAAAATTAATTTTTTTATTACAATTAGGAATTTTACTAAATATAAACTCTCAATCTATGGTGTTAATCAACGTTTAAGTCTAAGAAATTAAGAATTTTTATCTCTTTTAATCAACGTTTAAGTCTAAAAAATATTAAAGTTATTATAAGCTTTTTTTCTACATCTTTTAAAACATTAAATATAAGCATGTTAGGGCTAGCTTGTAAAATAATTAATATATCATCACACTAAAATATTTATACTATTAAAAATTTAATTTTAGTATATAAATTTATCCCTTAATATAAGAGAAAGTAACAATTTTACTTATTGTTGTTCACCATATAATATTTAATTATTATTTTATTATATAATAAAAAAGGAATATTGTTAAATAGTGTAGTAGAATTGTTATAAAATTATATGATTTTTTTTTTTTACAATAGGGATTTAATATTTTTTTATGATTTGATAATATAAACAAATCTATACTTAACTTTGACAAATAGAACAAATAAATACTTTAGTAAATATTTAATGTATATACTAAATAGGAATATATTTAGTATAATCAAGTACCAAATATAATCAAATAAGTCAAAGTGTACATTTTTATTTGGTATTTAATTTTTTTATTATTAAAATATTTTTATTATACTTACCTTTTTAAAATAAAATAAATAAATAAATCAATTAAATAAATAAAATATTATAATTCCAAAATAATAATGACATTTAATGCAGTTGACTTTTCTGGATAGTAAATATAGTAAATAGAATATCCTTTTATATAGTATAATACGGAAATAGTAATGCAATAAATGTTGTTGACTTTTTTGGCTACTTAATTTGGTAAATAGTACCCCCTTTAATATAAGTATAGATTAACTGCTGGAAGATTCCATCAAGATATACTATAATGAGACAAATTAATTATACGATTTTTTTAATGTTTTTTAGACTTTGAGAAATACTACATTAAATTTATTGGAACATAATTATAGGTACTCATGAAATTACAAAATTAAATAACTATTATAGATGTAATTAATTGTCTCAGAGAATAAAGAATAGTGTAATTATTATGGGGAAAAACGAGGGAACCAATTTGTGGTCTAAAAATTTCAACTCTTTCTCAAGCATGTTTGGAAATTTCTATTACCAAAAATCCCAAAATTTTTAAAAAATTATTCTTTTCACCTTTCTGGCAAGTTTTCCCCTAAACTACATCCAAAATTATCTTAGAAAAAAGTAAATGGGGTTGAATTTCACCTTACCATTGTGTGCACCATCTTAGTAGGATTGTAAACCATCATATCATATATTCGTTGTGATTTTTATTGGATGTAAAAGCTCACCAAACCAAAAAATAAAAAAATAATAAAAAATGGGTGAACCAAAGTATCAATTTTTCAAAGCCAAATCAACTACAAACTAAATAATCGAATTGTACGGTTCAATTTGATTTCCAATTTTTCATTAGGTGCTAGAAAATCTTTAAGGGTAGGGGCTAGTTTCTAGGTAGGCAATGGTCAAAGGATTCATGTTTGGGATTCTCCCTAGAGCCAAACGAGATTTTTTTAAACCTACTTGTCACTTTATTAAAGACAGGTTAAGAATTAGTAGAGTGAGTGAGTGAGTTGATTAGACGAGGGATAGGGAATGGGATTATGACCTCATTTGTCAAACTTTTGACCCAATGACTGCTGATAATATTCTTAAAATTCCTTTTATCAATCCTGATAGAGATGACAAATTGATATGGCATGAGAGTAAGAAGGGAATCTTTTCAAGAAAGGCCGTTTATAATGCCATTACTGATGCCTCAGGCTTGCAACACTCACAAGCAAGTGCCAGTCTGAATCCTGAAACCCTTGAGTGGATATCAAAGGTAAAGTGAAGACATGTGGAGGTGTTGGTTTGACTTTGTGAGCTCAAAGACTCAACTGAAGATAAATGTAGGCTTCAGGGTGTTGTTGCGGCTTTTAGCTTTAGTTCTAATGCTAGTAGGTTTGCTATGTGGTTGGTTAATTTGTGTTTGGTTTTTTGTTCTTTTGTTTTTGGTTGTGGTAGCCTCCAAGGGGGAGTTTGTTTACTTCCTTATTTGCTTGGTTCTTGCTTTCATTGCTTGAACTTGGCTTGTAATCATTTCATTAGTTAGACTCTTGTTTTTTGGTATAAAAAAAAAAAAGAGAAACTCAATTATCTCTTTCTCAATAATAAAATATTATATATGCAAAGATTATCATTTTTATTTTTTTGGGATTACATTAAATTTTTCACCACGCTAGCTAACAATCTAAATTTTTCACTCTAAAAAATAAGAAAGTTATTCGAATGGTTCGTATAATTGTCGCATATTCATATTAGAAAATGCAAAAGGTTATACAAATGTCTTCATACATTTAACTTTCACACAATTGTCATATAATTAATGGCATAATGCTTTGATACTTTTTAAGGTGAAAAAATTAACTTTTTATTGGTGTGAAAAACTTATCCATTTTGTAGAAGTATTTCCTTTTTTTTTTTTGTTAATAAGTCAAGTAGATTATGCCAATTATTACAAAGGAANTTTAAACTATGTTTCTTTTTTCTCTCTGTTTGTAAATTGTAGTAGTGTGAGGTCGTTGGATCTGATGGATTTTGATGTTTTTGGGATCCGGGCATATTGTTTTCGAATTGAATTTAGGGGCGTTGGTACTAATTTGTCGATTTAGGGTTGCATTGGTTTGGATGATGGTTTTGTGGCTGCTGGATATGCAGTGTAGCATGTGCTGTTCAATTGATTTTATTTTAGTTTTTTGCTTTTGAGTATTTGAATATACGAGGTTTCTGAGCTATGGCTATCTGGATCTGTGTTATGTGAATAGTTTTAGGTTATGCCTTCAATTCAGTTGGGCTTGATGTTGTTAGATTAATCAAAATTGTTGGTAGGGTTTGTGTTTTGATATTGAACTGACTGTTGTAGGAGAAGGAGTGAGAATTGAGCTCAGGTTGGTTAAATAGTCCGTTGGTGTTACGTAAGCTTAAATTAATATGAATAATACTTTTCACGGCGGAATTATATGAGCTCTTTATATGTTGGAACTTTTCTCTTGGATTTCATTTTGATATTATGTGTTCTCCTTGCACTTTGGGATTCCTATGCATAAGTCTCACACTAGTTGGTTGGTGGTAAGCCTGCATATCTCACTTCAATGTTTGCTTCTGTATTATGTACATGTACTGTCTTTTATGGATGCCGCTTGTTATACTCAATCTCTCAAGCTGAAAGTTTGTTTTGATTTTTGAATTGTACACTTCTCTTTCATCATAGAATAATTTTTTTTTTATGGTTTCAGGTCTTAAATCACGAGCTAAAGGGATTAATATTGTCTAGGACATGGAGCAAATTTGCCTTTGGTCCGATTGCCATCAGCATAGGATTTTTCAATTCCAGGAACTCCTCGACTGGCTATTTCTCATCCTTGGAGAGTTTTTTGTTTCCTTTGTCAATTGCACTTAGTGAATTAAATGAGCAGTATATGAGGGTAGAGAAGATCTCCAAAATTGATGTTCGAGTTAGTGCACTTGTACAAGTGAGCTGTGATGTCAATCCAGTTTTTACACTGTTTAACCTTCCCGTGCGATCCATTTGTTGCTAATGCATTGTAGATACACATCATTTTAAAATCCTTTGGAGACCGGTTGTGAGGTATTTTCTAGCCTTTATTTTCTTATTCATTATTTATGTTTTGAGCTTTTAGGATCATCACAGTATATCTTTCTCTATCCTCCTTAACTCAGGACTCATCTGCAAGTATGAGAAGAAACTTCATCGGGTTCAATATTTCTGCACTGTAAAATGTGGAAGCTTAGGAAGATCTTCACTTTAGCCAATAATGGTAGATGGTGGAGCTATTTCTTATCAGTCGGGTTTGACTAGTATCAGAATATTCTCTAGTTCTGCGGTTTGGTGTTGAGATTTTGTTTTGTTGGTTTACCTCATAAATAAGGCAGTTAAAGGTCGTTCATCATAATCCTTTCGGTTTTTCTCGTATGCGAGGGTAACCGCGGAATTAGTGATGGATTTGATTTATATGCCAGGCTGTTATTAGTTAATTTTTTTCATTTAGATTGGGTGATACTTAAATTAGCATAGTCGTGTTGTCTGTCTCGTCCAATAAAGTGGAACATTGTTCGTAGCTGAAGTCAAAATAATGGAAAGGTACAATCTGTTGTAGTTTTTTATCTGTTTGCTATGGCCAAACTTCTTTTCCATTGGATTCAAATATCACAATGGGTTTTTTGTAGGTTCACGATTATTAAGGAAGTTGGTAATGGTACGTTTGGAAGTGTCTGGAGAGCTCTAAGCAAGCAGTCTGGTGAAGTGGTATAGTTTCAGTTTTCGAATTATTAAGCTTATTTCTCATTGTCTTTTGTTAAAATTGTCATTCTGTACCTAATTGATTATATTGACAGGTGGCGATAAAAAAAATGAAGAAGAAATATTATTCATGGGAAGAATGTATAAATCTGAGAGAAGTGAAGGTGAAAGTAATTACTTTTTATGTTGACGTTTAAGATTAACTCGTGTGATTGTGTCATATGCTGATATACGTTACGGTTCTTCGTATTGATAGTCATTGAAGAAAATGAACCATCCAAATGTAGTAAAGCTGAAGGAAGTCATCAGGGAAAACGATGTATTATGCTTTGTCTTTGAATATATGGTATGCTTTGATTTTCCTAGCTCTGTTTGCCGCCCTTTTTTGGTCCGATGAATGAATTAATATGTTGTGCTGGCTGCACTCTCAGGAATGCAATCTATACCAGCTTATAAAGGATAGGAAAAAACCTTTTACAGAAGTTGAGGTGAGAAATTGGTGCTTTCAAGTATTTCAAGGCCTCTCGTACATACATCAACGTGGATATTTCCATCGTGACCTAAAGCCAGGTTATTATTGCTCTGTGAAAATCTCAGCTATGATCATCCTAGATATTATAGTTCTCTGAAAGGTTCTTTACCTTTTTGACTGGACATGTTGCATTATTTGGAAATTGGAATCTATAATTAATTCGAACACTGTATTACCTTTACGTGATGCTGTGACTGATTTCACTCTCAGTTAAGACTTTTTTTATTTATTTTTTATTATAAAACTTCGTTGACTTGTAAATAATTCTTTGTGAAGTGTAGAATTATATCTGTTGCTTAATTTGTCAAGGTAGTTTTTATTACATGATATTTTTCCCTAATTTGTCTCACTGATGCTTGTAACAGAAAACTTGCTAGTATCAAAAGATACCATAAAAATTGCCGATTTTGGTCTCGCTCGTGAGATCACTTCTCGACCACCGTTCACCGAATATGTCTCGACACGCTGGTATAGTGTAGTTTCTCTATTCTATTTACTTCCGTTGAATATATAAGGAATGCTTAAAAAACTTAAAAAAAAACATTTGTTATGCAGGTACAGGGCCCCAGAAGTTCTGCTTCAGTCACCTATATATGGTCCCCCAGTTGGTGAGTGAATGTTAAACCTCAGTTGCCTTTTATTCTTTTCCTCTGGATGTTTTTCTTTTGCTCGAGAGCTGTTATTTTTTTTTTTTTTCCTGCAGATATGTGGGCAATGGGTGCAATAATGGCTGAATTATTCACTCTTCGTCCTTTATTTCCTGGGTCAAGGTATAACCATCATTCTTGATAAGTGTATAGGTTTCCATTGTTAATTTGTACTTTCGAATTTTAGTACTCTTTATCCTTTTGAAGTTGAAAATTGTGTGCGCATTGATTATTCAAGTTTACTTGAAGTATTGCAAGCATGAAGTACTTGATACGATCCTTTAAAATTATTATGGTGCAGTGAGGCAGATGAGATTTACAAGATATGCTGCATAATTGGCAGCCCAACAAATACCGAATGGCCTCACGGGCTCGAACTTGCTAGTGCTATTAACTATCATTTCCCTCAAGTATGTGTACTTGTTTACTTTTAATGAGTCTATGAGATGATGGTAAATAGTTTTTTAACTAGTTTTATTTTTTTATTTTTTTTTATCTTATTTTTATAACGTACTTACTTTTAATAAGTATGTGTACTTAGGCCTTACCCTTTGATGACAAATAGTTTTTTTCCTTTTTTTTTCCTTTTCATTTATTGGTGAATAGCTCTCAACCGTGATATTTCTCGTCTCGTTTTGCAGGTTGCTAGTGCCCATCTTCCTGCCTTGATGCCAGGTGTCAGTAAGGATGCAATTAATCTCATCTCAGTAAGTTTGGTTAAAGTTTTAGATGCTCTACTCTTTTACATTCTCCGTAAGAACTTTTCTTGGGTTTTAAATTCAGGTTCTCCATAACTCAATTTAATATTTTGTGTAGAAATTTTTATTCATGGTTCATGATATAGCTTTTCCTTCATTAAAAACTTATCTAGCTATTTTTCACGCGTATGCCAAATATAGTCACTGTGTTTGTGGGATCCTTGCAAGAGGCCGACAGCCATGGAAGCTCTTCAACATCCTTTCTTCCAGGTGAAATTTGGATTGAACCTATTACATTTTGGATTAATTAAATCTATTCACTTTCAATTCCGTTAAGTTATATCCCATTTTTTTATTTTTACTTTTTCAGAGTTGCTTTTACATCCCACCATCTCTGCGTGCGAAGCCTGCTCTCACGAAAACACCTCCTGGTCTGCCATTCTGAAAATTATATATAGATATATATATATTTATATTTTCCTATTTTCTGGTTGATTTTTTAGCTTTTAGGGAAAAAGGAATTGAGATTTTGTTCAATTGGTGCAGTTGGAGCTAGTTTTGAACAAAAAAGTGTTGGGAGATATTCGGGGAAATTATTGAACCCAAAGCCCCTAAACAGCTTTTCTCATGCCAGACCACACCAATCATTGAGTGCAGGTATACATACATGCATACATACATACATACATACATCTATATAGATTCCGAAATTCTATTGTAATAGAAATATAAATTAGTTATATTCAAGCTTTGTTTTTAACAGGCGTGCAGAGGAAGTTGGACTTGAATGATCAGGTAAGTCAGTATTACAGTTTGTACCTCGTTACTATTTATACACGCTTTGTGTTTATGGATGAAAAAAAAAAGATGGTCTTTATCTGCTCTGTTTTTGCAGCATGATGTAGTAACTAAACACAACAAAAACCAGAAGAATGACATGAAGCAACAGCCAAAGTACCGGCCACCAGGATTTAATGACCCAAATAAACGTAAACCATCTATTATCGTAATTATTAATTTTTTTTATTTATTTTTTTATATTTTTTCTGATTACTAGACAAACTTTGCAAAGAGCTAAACTAGACGATTACTTGTTTTCAGACATTGGTAACTTGGAGAAAACTAGGATAATTTCAGATGCAACCAAGAAGTTTGGGAAAATGACATTTTGCTCCGGCGAGCAGCTGCTCGTCAAACGGTCATCTTTGCCGCCACCTATGAAGGCCGGAGGATTGGTTGGGCGTTCACAAGAAGTTGGTCTTCCGGGAAGGTCTTATACTCGGAAAGTGGCTGGATGAAAAAATAAAATAAAATAAATAAATAAATAAAAAATAAGCCACTGGTCGCCTGCTTCGTGTAGACTATTATGTCCGAATATCGAGTATCGTGCTTTCTGTTTTCTTCATTAGTGTGCTTGGCATGGAATGTTTATGTTCAGTTGAGTGTGTTCAAAGTACTGTTGACGAACAGTTTGGTGTGTTTAGTATTGAATAATGATCAGTAATAAAAGTTCAAATTTGTGCCCAGCACCAATGTTTAAAGGGATTTGAAGATTTTGTTGATGGTTGAGCTAATATGCAATCACCAGTTTTGTTGCATTTTTTGGTTTTTTTTTTTTATACTTGTTAAAAGTTCTATGCTAAAACTTCCAATGAAATGACAGAAATATTGGACACAATTTCGAAATTATTACTACTAGTATTCGACCATGTGCATTTGCACAATGTAAATAGAATATTATAACTTATATTTATGCATATAGTATTAAAATTATAAGTCATATAATGATATTATATTTTAAACATAGAGTATTATAAGTTATATTTATGCATATAATAATAAAAATATAAATTAGATAATGATATTATGTTTTAAAATTTGATCATTGGTTAAAATAAATAGTACATAATATTTGATTGCATATGAACCACTATATTAATTACATAAAATATAATAAATAATGTATTTTTGAGAGATCGCCAATTTATTAGCTTAAAAATATTAAATTTATTATAACATTTGAATATGCGATTTTAAGGAATTTTACTATAACATTAAAATAAATTATCTTATTTAAAAATACAATCACTAAATAAGATAAAAAAAATATAATATTAATTTTAGAATAAGTAACTTCAGCAAAAAGTTTACAATAATTTTTTATGTTTATATAACTTTCATATATCATTTAGTGTAAACTATAGTTATTAGTTTTAATAATAACTATTATATGATATAATAAAATTGTATAATTATTACTCCATTAATATAAAAATATAACGGTTTTTGTCTTAATTAACCCTAAAAAAAGTGCAATGAAATATTTTCGCATTAATTGGATATGGTGGATTAATAATAATAATAATAATAATAATAATAATAATAGAAAATTGAAACATAAAAAGATGGTAAACAATAATTAATATTATTAAATTTGTTGTTAGTAGTTAAATATAGAGAGAAATATAAATGATAAAGTTTGTAACGATTTTTGGAGGGAAATCGAAATAAGTTTTTATTAAATATTTTATTAAATGCTATTAGCCAACAATTATATATATATAGATTACAACTAAAAAAAAATTATATAGTAATCAACAAGTTTTCCCAATTGGAAAAATTTCTCTTGCTTTTGGTGAAGATGATTGTCAACTCATTTCTCTTAGAATCCTAGTTTTGGGTAGAACATTTTTAGTTTTTGAAATTTGAAAAAGTTTTTGGAAGTTAGAAAGAGAAGTAGATATAATTTAAAATAATAAAAAATACAAGATTGAATTACATGCATTAAAATATTTATGTATCACTCTCTCGATGCATCTCTAAGGACTTTTTTTTTTAATACATAAATATTCTTAGAATAAAAATGAATCCACTTTATGCAATATACAAAAAATAATACTAATAATAAATAAATTAAAAAAAAAATTGTCATTCTACACTGTATACTGAAAACTTCAAGCCTAAAAGTACATAAAGAAAGAGTTTCTTCCCAAAACAAAGTTGTACATTACACCCCAAAACTAAGCATGACATAACAAGATGTACCTTTAAACTTTAGAACATTTTTTTGTATGCTGCAGTTTTCTTATAGCTACTAGTTAGATATAAATCATCAAATCATATGTAATTGTTCTCATTTCAATCGATCACACAATCAAAATTGCATTGCATTCGTATGAGTTGCATTAGCATTAGCTAAGATATTGATCTTGTATCCTCTCCCTGTTAGTTTCCCACCAATTCTTTGCATGAACTTCCCCGAATTTTTCTCGGCTGCAAAAAAACAAACAAACCGAAGCAAAAAACGACCCGTGTTACCTTTACCGGTCAAATAAACATAACAATTCGTTTAAATAATAATTTATTTACGATATTTACCTGAACCGAACACGCCTTAATTCCCGAGTCCCGTCCATGAGCTGGCGGATCGTGATGTAAACTCCTGGCTCGTCTTCTTCGATCCATTCCGAGTCGATATCGCTAGCATTGCTTATGGAAACCGAAGGCTCGTCTATGGATGATGAGGTTGTAGGGCGCGAAGCTTCCATGGTGGGGCCCGCGTTGTTGTAGTAATGATGGCTTTGGGCTGTGGGCTCGGGTGGCCCACCACTGTACGGTTTGTTAAACCGTGGGGCCCACTCACGGTTTATGGATGGGGTCATTCGCGGGCTTTCGAAGGCGGAGCCCAGTTTGGAGTAGGTTGAGTCTCTCTGCAGAAGTTGTGAA